CCAACAGAGTTTCTGCTGTCACACTGGATAAGCTATGGAAACAGCAGTTCAAGATGGACTTCCCTGAGAGCAGCCATGATGAGCAGATGGGCTGTCAAAGGAAGACTCAAAACTCCTGGAGTTGGTGATGGGTGATTTGGTATATCCCTCACCATGGGGTTTACCATCCTACCAAGGAGAAGATGCGGGTCGCCTTCGGCTGTGCAGCATCATTCCAGGGTGTCTCTCTTAATGCGCAGCTCCTGAGTGGCCCTGACTTAACAAATGCTTTGGTTGGAGTACTGACGAGGTTCAGAAAAGAGCCTATTGTTTTGATGTCTGACATCCAGGTTATGTCTCACCAGGTGCATGTGCCAGAGGAAGATTCTGACCTATTGATATTTCTCTGGTGGCCTGGTGATGACTTTAGAGCATGCAAGAATACAGGATGGGTGTTCATTTGTTTGGGGCAACATCCTCTCCAAGCTGTGCCGACTATGCCCTGCGGAAATGCGCAGAGGACAACAAAGCATACTTCAGCCAGCAGGTGATAGACACCATTCTGTATAGTTTTTATGTGGACAACTGCCTTGCTTCAATAGGCTCTGAAGACGAAGCCATCAATCTTTACTCAGATCTCAGAGACATCTGTGCCAGCGATGGCTTCAACTTAACAAAGTGAGTAATAGCTGCAGCATTATGGCAGTTATACCTGAGGAGGAAAGAGCAAAGAAAGTTAAGGTCATAGACCTGGATCGTGACCTGTTGAGGGAGCATTGGGACTGTGGTGGTGCCTACAGTCAGATGCATTTAAGTTGCATTTAAGATGCATTGTAAATGTAAAACCTGATTTTGGAGAGACGGCCACTGCTCAGTTGCATCACTTTGCAGATGTGAGTGGAAAGGGGTGTGGCGCTGTTACTTACCTGCTGCTGCACACCAGTCGCTCACAGATACAGTTCCTTCATAATGGGAAAGTCCAGTGTGCCTTTAAAACCAGTCACAATCCTACGCATGGAAATGATGCCAGCAGTGGTAGCAGTTTGCGAGGATAAAATGTGGAGGAGGGAGTTGAGACTACCTCTCCTAAACTCAGTATTTTGCACAGACAGCACCGCAGTGTTGAAATATATCAATAATGAGACTTCCAGGTTCCGTGTTTTTGTGGTGAACCAAGTGTCAGAGATCCTCAAGGCTTCTAGTGCCTCCCAGTGGAGGAATGTAAACACAACGCATAACCCTGCAGACTTTGCCTCCAGAGGCATGAAGGCAGAGACCTTTCTGCGTGACACTGAATGGATATCTGGTCCTGCATTTTGTTAC